CCTGGTTTACTCCTGGTATAGTCCTGGTCCAGTCCTGGTTTAGTCCTGGTCCAGTCCTGGTCCAGTCTGGTCCAGTCCTGGTTCAGTCCTGGTTTACTCCTGGTATAGTCCTGGTTCAGTCCTGGTCCAGTCCTGGTTCTGTCCTGGTTTACTCCTGGTATAGTCCTGGTTCAGTCATGGTTCCAGTCTGGTCCAGTCCTGGTCCAGTCCCTGGTCCAGTCTGGTCCAGTCCTGGTTCTGTCAGTCTGGTTCCAGTCCTGGTCCAGCCCTGGTCCCAGTCCTGGTGCAGTCCTGGTCCAGTCCTGGTTCCGTCCTGGTCCAGCCCTGGTCCAGTCCTGGTCCAGCCCTGGTTCAGTCCTGGTCCAGTCTGGTTCCGTCCTGGTCCGGCCCTGGTGCAGTCCTGGGTCCGGTCCTGGTCCGGTCCTGGTCCAGTCCTGGTCCAGTCCTGGTCCAGTCCTGGTTCAGTCCTGGTTCAGTCCTGGTTTAGGTCTCTGTTCTTGTGAGCTGTGAGGACGTGAGGATTTCCCAGGATGCTGTGGGTGTGGTGAGTTGAACATCTGCTCTGTCGCTCACGAGGCTCTGGGACGCTGAAAAAAACTCACATTATCTGGCAACAAAAGTGTGGAGCAAACACGTCTCCATGGGAAACGGACTAGTTCAGACCTGGTTCAGTACTGGTTTAGTCCCAGTTTAGACCTGTTTTTGCCCTTGTTTAGTCCTGGTTTAACAGTAACATACCGGGACTAGATCAGGACTAAACCTAGACTAAACCAGACTGTTCCTGTTTTTGTTAGTCTTTGTTAGTCCTGGTTTAGTCTTGGTTTAATTTTGGTTTAGTCTTGATTTAGTCCTGGTTTTAATCTTGGTGTACTCCTGGTTTAGGCTTGGTTTAGTCCTTGTTTAGTCTTGGTTTAGTCCTGGATTCATATTGTTTTAGTCCTAGTTTAGTCCTGGTTTATTCCTGGTTCAGTCCCGGTGTAGAACTTGTTTAATCTTGGTTTAGTCTTGGTTTAGTCCTGGTTTAGTTTTAGTTTAGTCTTGGTTTAGTCCTGGTTTAGTCCTGGTTTACTTTTGGTTTAGTCCTGGTTTAGTCCCTGTTTACTCCTGGTTTAGTTTTGGTTTACTCCTGGTTTAGTTTTGGTTTAGTCCTGGTTTAGTTTTGGTTTACTCCTGGTTTAGTTTTGGTTTAGTTGGTTTAGTCCTGGTTTAGTTTTGGTTTAGTCCTGGTTTAGTTTTGGTTTAGTCCTGGTTTAGTTTTGGTTTCGTCCTGGTTTAGTTTTGGTTTAGTTCCTGGTTTAGTTTTGGTTTAGTTCCTGGTTTAGTTTTGGTTTAGTCCTGGTTTAGTTTTGGTTTACTCCTGGTTTAGTTTTGGTTTAGTCCTGGTTTAGTCCCTGTTAACTCCTGGTTTAGTTTTGGTTTAGTCCTGGTTTAGTTTTGGTTTACTCCTGGTTTAGTTTTGGTTTAGTCCTGGTTTAGTTTTGGTTTACTCCTGGTTTAGTTTTGGTTTAGTTCCTGGTTTAGTTTTGGTTTCGTCCTGGTTTAGTCCCTGTTTAGTCCTGGTTTAGTTTTGGTTTAATGCTGGTTTAAATTCAAGCTTGAGGTCCCTCTGGGGATTTGTAGGTTTTGAGGTCAAGTTTTAGTCCAGATTTAGTCCTTGTTCTTGTTCCTTTTGTAGTCTTGGTTTAGTTCTGCTTTAGTTCTAGTTTAGTACTGATTTAATCTTGGATTAGTCTTGGTTCATTCCTATTTTAGTCTTGATTTATTCCTACTTAAATCCTGCTTTAGTCCTGGTTTACTCCTGGTTTAGTTTTGGTTTAGTCCAGGTTTAGTCCCAGTTTAGAACTCGTTTAATCCTGGTTTTGTCCTGTTTCAGTCTTGGTTTAGTCTTGGTTTAGTCCTGGTTCAGTCTTGTTATTATCCTGGTTTAGTCCCGGTTTAGAATTTGTTTAATCCTGGTTTAGTCTTGGTTTGGGCCTGGTTTATTTTTGGCTTAGTCCTGGTTTAGTTTTAGTTTAGTCTTGGTTCAGTCCTGGTTTAGTCCTGGTGTAGTCTTGGTGTAGTCCTGGTTTAGTCCTTGTTTAGTCTTGGGTTAATCTTGGTTTAGTCTTAGTTTAGTCCTGGTTTAGTCCTGGTTTAGTGTTGGTTTAGTCTTGGTTCAGTCCTGGTTTCATCTTGATTTAGTCCTGGTTTAATTTTGGTTTAGTCCGGGTTTAGTCTTAGTTTAGTCTTGGTTTAGTCCTGGTTTAATTTTGGTTTAGTCCGGGTTTAGTCTTAGTTTAGTCTTGGTTTAGTCCTGGTTTAATTTTGGTTCAGTCCTGCTTCAGTCCTGTATTATTCCCGTTTTTCCCCTCGACATTCCTCGGCACGTTTCTCCCGTCGCCGTGGTGATGAGCTCGCTGATGTCCCTGATGTTGGACGGCGCGGTGTAACGCTGAATAATGTCCCCCAGACCGCGGCGTGACCCTGAGGGGGCGGGGCCACGCGCGCCCTAATGTCAGACCGAATCAGGATTATTATTATTGTGCTAATGTGGCTATTAAACAGGAAACGCATCACGGGGCGGAGGGGGCGGAGCCAAGCGACCATTACCCGCCAATAAAAGAACAAATCCATCTCCAAAAGGGTCGGATTATTATTATTACGGATCGAATCAGACGCAGAGACATTTATATTTACATAATCGCATACAGGAAGTGTCTGAGGAATGTCTGATGGAAGAAGAAGAGGAGGAGGTCACAGCGCCACCTGCTGGTTATGACCCAACACAGACACATATTTAAAGGTCCAATATTACACAGAACTGACTCTTGTGAGATTTAAACCATTTAGTCCTGGTTTAGTCCTGGTTTAGTCCTCAATTTCAATTCGGAATTTGGTCCAGTGGTGGACCGGTGGACCACAGGGAAAAGGCCAGGGCCAAATTTTGTTCCCAGTCCAACCCTGCTTGGTTTAGTCCTGGTTTAGTTTTGGTTTAGTCTTAGTTTAGTCCTGTTTAGTCCTGTTTGAGTCCTGATTTAGTCTTGGTTTAATCCTTTTTCAGTCTTGATTTAGTCTTGGTTTAGTCCTGGTTTACTTTTGGTTTATTCTTGGTTTAGTCCTGGTTTAGTTTTGTCTTAGTCCTGTTTAAATCTTAGTTTAGTTTTGGTTTCGTCTTGGTTTAGTACTGGTTTAGTCCTGGTGTAGTCTTGGTTTAGTCTTGGCTTAGTTTTGATTTAGTCCTGGTTTAGTCCTGGTTTGGTTTTGGTTTAATCCTGGTTTAGTCTTGTTTCGTGCCAGCTTATTCCTGGTTTAGTCTTAGTTTAGTCCTGTTTAGTCCTGATTTGTCTTGTTTATCCTGTTTGAGTCCTGATTTAGTCTTAGTTTAATCCTTTTTCAGTCTTGATTTAGTCTTGGTTTAGTCTTGGTTTAGTCTTGGTTTTGTCCTGGTTTAGTTTTGGTTTAATCCTGGTTTAGTCTTGTTTCGTGTCTGCTTAGTCCTGGTTTAGTCTTAGTTTAGTCTTGGTTTAGTCCTGGTTTAATGTTGGTTTAATCCTGGTTTAGTTTTATTTCGTGTCTTAGTCCTGGTTTAGTCTTAGTTTAGTCTTGGTTTAGTCCTGGTTTAGTCTTAGTTTCGTCCTGTTTCTCCAAAAGGGTCGGATTATTATTATTACGGATCGAATCAGACGCAGAGACATTTATATTTACATAATCGCATACAGGAAGTGTCTGAGGAATGTCTGATGGAAGAAGAAGAAGAGGAGGTCACAGCGCCACCTGCTGGTTATGACCCAATACAGACACATATTTAAAGGTCCAATATTACAGAACTGACTCTTGTGAGATTTAAACCATTTAGTCCTGGTTTAGTCCTGGTTTAGTCCTCATTTCAATTCAGAATTTGGTCCAGTGGTGGACCAGTGGACCACAGGGAAAAGGCCAAGGCCAAATTTTGTTCCCAGTCCAACCCTGCTTGGTTTAGTCCTGGTTTAATCTTGGTTTAGTCTTGGCTTAGTTTTGATTTAGTCCTGGTTTAGTCTTGGTTTAATCTTGGCTTAGTTTTGATTTAGTCCTGGCTTAGTCTTGGTTTTGTCCTGGTTTAGTTTTGTTTTAATCTTGGTTTAGTCCTGGTTTGGTTTTGGTTTAATCCTGGTTTAGTCTTGGTTTAGTCCTGGTTTAATGTTGGTTTAATCCTGGTTTAGTTTTGTTTCGTGCCGGCTTAGTCCTGGTTTAGTCTTAGTTTAGTCCTGGTTAAGTCCTGGTTTCGTCCTGGTTAAGTCCTGTTTAAGTCTTGGTTTTCGTTTTGGTCCTGTTTCAGTCTTGGTTCAGTCCTGTTTCAGTCTTGGTTCAGTCCTGTTTCAGTCTTGGTCTTTCGGTCCTGTTTCGGTCTTGGTTCGGTCCTGTTTCGGTCTTGGTTTAGTCCTGTTTCAGTCTTGGTTTAGTCCTGTTTCCGTTCAGTCCTGGTTTCAGTCTTGGTTTCCAGTTTGTCTTGGTTTGTCCTGTCCTGTTTCAGTCCTGGTTAGTCCTGGTTCAGTCCTGTTTAAGTCTTGGTTTTCAGTCTTGGTTCAGTCCTGTTTCAGTCTTGGTTTATCAGTTTCAGTCCTGTTTCAGTCTTGGTTCAGTCCTGTTTCAGTCTTGGTTTCAGTCCTGTTTCAGTCTTGGTTCAGTCCTGTTTCAGTCTTGGTTCAGTCCTGTTTCAGTCTTGGTTCAGTCCTGTTTCAGTCTTGGTTCAGTCCTGTTTCAGTCTTGGTTCAGTCCTGTTTCGGTCTTGGTTCAGTCCTGTTTCAGTCAGTCTTGGTTCAGTCCTGAAGCTGTTACCACTGTGATATATAACATGACATGACCCAGCGACTGAATAGTTCCTCTGTTACATTTTTGTACATGGTTTTGGCTGATACGTCGCTGTGGATATTCAACAGAAATGAAGATTTAATTACAGAAACATGTGACATAAGAGGAACTCTGCTAAACACAAACTTAAAACTCTGGAGCTTCACTCAACTTTTCTCTTTGTTTTGTTCCAGGTTTTTCCTCAAGTTCTTCCTCAAGTGTAACCAGAACTGCCTGAAGAACGCCGGCAACCCCCGAGACATGAGACGCTTCCAGGTATTTATACTACTACTACTACTACTACTACTACTACTACTACTACTACTACTACTACTACTACTACTACTACTGCTACTACTACTACTACTACTACTATTACTGCAGTATAACCAGAACTGTCTGAAGAACGCCGGCAACCCCCGAGACATGAGACGCTTCCAGGTATTTATACTACTACTACTACTACTACTACTACTACTACTACTACTACTACTACTACTACTACTACTACTACTACTACTACTACTGCTACTCCTACTACTACTACTACTATTACTGCAGTATAACCAGAACTGTCTGAAGAACGCTGAAAACCCTCAGACATGAGACGCTTCCAGGTACTACTACTACTACTACTACTACTATACTACTATACTACTACTACTACTACTACTACTACTACTACTACTACTACTACTACTACTACTACTTACTACTACTACTACTACTACTACTACTACTACTACTACTACTACTACTACTACTACTACTACTACTACTACTACTACTACTACTACTACTACTACTACTACTACTACTACTACTACTACTACTACTACTACTTACTGCTACTACTATTACTACTATTACTGCAGTATAACCAGAACTGTCTGAAGAACGCCGGCAACCCCCGAGACATGAGACGCTTCCAGGTATTTATACTACTACTACTACTACTACTACTACTACTACTACTACTACTACTACTACTACTACTACTACGCTACTACTACTACTATTACTACTATTACTGCAGTATAACCAGAACTGTCTGAAGAACGCTGAAAACCCCCGAGACATGAGACACTTCCAGATATTTATACTACTACTTCTACTACTACTACTACTACTACTATTACTACAGCTACTACTACTACTACTATTACTACTATTACTACAGTATAACCAGAACTGTCTGAAGAACGCTGAAAACCCTCAGGACATGAGACGCTTCCAGGTATTTATACTACTACTACTAACTACAACTACAACAACAACAACAACTACTACTACTACTACTACTACTACTACTACTACTACTACTACTACTACTACTACTACTACTACTACTGTGAATACTACTACTACTACTATTACTACAGTACAACCAGAACTGTCTGAAGAACGCTGACAACCCCCGAGACATGAGACACTTCCAGATATTTATACTACTTCTACTACAACAACTACTACTACTACTATTACTACAGCTACTACTACTACTACTATTACTACTATTACTACAGTATAACCAGAACTGTCTGAAGAACGCTGAAAACCCTCAGGACATGAGACGCTTCCAGGTATTATACTACTACTACTACAACTACAACTACAACAACTACAACTACAACTACTACTACTACTACTACTACTACTACTACTACTACTACTACTACTACTACTACTACTACTTACTACTACTGTGAATACTACTACTACTACTACTACTACTATTACTACAGTACAACCAGAACTGTCTGAAGAACGCCGACAACCCTCAGGACATGAGACGCTTCCAGGTATTTATACTACTGCGAATACTACTGCTAGTCCTACTATTACTACTGCCAGTACTACAGCTAGTACAACTATTACTACTACTAGTACTACCACTACAATACAAGACAAACAGTCTGAAGAACACCGGCAACGCCCGGGACATGAGACACTTTCAGGTATTTATAGTACTACTTTGACTACTATGACTGTTACCTCTACTACTACTAGTACTACTACTACTATTACTACTACTACTACTACTATTACTACTACCACTACTACTGCATTACAACCAGAACTGTCAGAAGAACACTAGCAACCCCTGAGACATGAGACGCTTCCAGGTATTTATACTACTACTACTACTACAACTACTACTACAGCTACTTCTACTAGGACTACTATTACTACTACTAGTACTAGTACTATAATACAAGAAAAACTGTCTGAAGAACACCCACAATCTCCGGGACATAAGACGCTTCCACGCATATGTTCTTATAGTACTTACACTACTACAACAACTACTACAACTACTACTACTAGTACAGTACAAATCCAGGGACAAGAGGCGCATCCAGGTACTTGTAGTTACTACTACTACTACTACTATGACATAAAGTAAAGTAGTCACACAAAAATACTTCTACTTGTATGACCGACAGTACCATAAGAAGTTTCTATTTGTATACTTAAGTACTTCAGCTCAGAGCAGGTACTTGAGCTCAGAGAAGGTACTTGAATTTAGAGCAGGTACTTGAGTTCTGAGCAGGTACTTGAATTCAGAGCAGGTACTTGAATTAGAGCAGGTACTTGAGAGCAGGTACTTGAATTCAGAGCAGGTACTTGAGTTCTGAGCAGGTACTTGAGTTCAGAGCAGGTACTTGAATTCAGAGCAGGTACTTGAGTTCAGAGCAGGTACTTGAATTCAGAGCAGGTACTTGAGTTCAGAGCAGGTACTTGAATTCAGAGCAGGTACTTGAATTCAGAGCAGGTACTTGAGTTCAGAGCGGGTACTTGAGTTCAGAGGGTACTTGAATTCAGAGCAGGTACTTGAGTTCAGAGCAGGTACTTGAGTTCAGAGCAGGTACTTGAGTTCAGAGCAGGTACTTGAATTCAGAGCAGGTACTTGAGTTCAGAGCAGGTACTTGAGTTCAGAGCAGGTACTTGAATTCAGAGTAGGTACTTGAATTCAGAGCGGGTACTTGAGTTCAGAGCAGGTACTTGAGTTCAGAGCAGGTACTTGAGTTCAGAGCAGGTACTTGAGTTCAGAGCAGGTACTTGAATTCAGAGCAGGTACTTGAATTCAGAGCAGGTACTTGAATTCAGAGCAGGTACTTGAGTTCAGAGCAGGTACTTGAATTCAGAGCAGGTACTTGAGTTCAGAGCAGGTACTTGAATTCAGAGCAGGTACTTGAGTTCAGAGCAGGTACTTGAATTCAGAGCAGGTACTTGAATTCAGAGCGGGTACTTGAGTTCAGAGCGGGTACTTGAGTTCAGAGCGGGTACTTGAATTCAGAGCAGGTACTTGAGTTCAGAGCAGGTACTTGAGTTCAGAGCAGGTACTTGAATTCAGAGTAGGTACTTGAATTCAGAGCAGGTACTTGAGTTCAGAGCAGGTACTTGAGTTCAGAGCGGGTACTTGAGTTCAGAGCAGGTACTTGAATTCAGAGCAGGTACTTGAGTTCAGAGCAGTACTTGGTCAGAGCAGGTACTTGAATTCAGAGCAGGTACTTGAGTTCAGAGCAGGTACTTGAGTCAGAGCAGGTACTTGAGTTCAGAGCAGAGTGGGTACTTGAATTCAGAGCGGGTACTTGAGTTCAGAGCAGGTACTTGAGTTCAGAGCAGGTACTTGAGTTCAGAGCAGGTACTTGAGTTCAGAGCAGGTACTTGAGTTCAGAGCAGGTACTTGAGTTCAGAGAATTCAGAGTAGGTACTTGAATTCAGAGCAGGTACTTGAGTTCAGAGCAGGTACTTGAGTTCAGAGCAGGTACTTGAATTCAGAGCAGGTACTTGAATTCAGAGCGGGTACTTGAGTTCAGAGCAGGTACTTGAGTTCTGAGCAGGTACTTGAGTTCTGAGCAGGTACTTGAGTTCAGAGCAGGTACTTGAGTTCGCGAGGTCCCAGGTGAAGTCGTGTCTCACCTTGACATTTGGTTCATGTCTGACATTTAAATCTCTGTTTGGACTTTTAATGAGACAAAACTATAACGAGGAGTTTGTGTTCTGAGTTTGCGGCGTTGGTGACGGACGCTGATCTTACGCACAAGTCCTGTGGGGCGAGGCGCTGAAGCGGGTCACACAGAAGGGTCTTGGTTCGATCCCCAGGGCCTTTCTGTTTAGACTTTGCATGTGTCTGTGTCTCCAGTTTCCCCTGTCAGCCCAAAACATTCACAACAATCAAATACATAGGCCACGATACGATAAATACCTCGATACGTAGGTCATGATACAATACATATCTCGATACATAGGCCACGATATGACACATACCTCGATATGTAAGCGACGATACAATACATATTTTGTTACATTTGGGTCCAGTCAAGTGGTAACGGAGGGAAACAGGCAGATTTTTTGACATTCAAATGTCTCTTATTCAGAAACTAGAGGAACTATTGAAATAAGTAAAGTATCAGAATGTAGGAAAGAGTTACACTCCAACAGGGTCAAGTTAAACCTGTGATATTCTTTCAAGTTGTTGACAAAAAATTTAAAAACTCATGTCGGTAACGGAGGGAATGAAATATGCAGCACTTTTTGGGCAATAAATCCAAACAGTGATAACTCTTGGTTCTCACTTACATATCCTTAACAAACTGGTTTGAATATTTGCTTCATATAGTTTTCTACCATATGGTACAAGATTAGGTTGAAAAACCTCTTACTTTTTGAGTAATGAGATTTTTTATGAAGAAAGTTCATGGTAACGGAGGGAAAAGTAACGGAGGGAAAATTGTGCAAACAAGTAGAAGGTGCAGGATTTTGCATAATTTGTCGCTTTTTTCTTCTGAATACTTTAATATTACTTCAAAATGAAAGGAAACTATTTCTATAAAATATGTCAGTCCTTCCAAGCAAATTTTTATCATTTTAAATACATTTTTAAAAAAAAAAATCCTGTACCTTCATCAACAGTTCAAAGATGGAATAACACAAGATATGATGAAATACGTCAATTTATTTACATGATTTTCAGGTCTTTGAAATTTGGGAAATAATTTTTGTTCCATGTTTCATACATGGTCTGTTTAAAACGTATGTAACTTTAGAACCAAAAATGGTACAGAAAAAAGGTCAACAGTTTCATAAACTAGAGTACATATGTATCTGTTCAATACATTTTTATATCAGATGCATTAACTTGAATTTTTGGCCTTGTTGTTTACTTCTGCTTGACCGGGCCCCTAGGCCACACTATGATAAATAGATCGATACTTAGGCCATGATGCCATACATACCTAGATGCGTAGGCGAAGGTATGATAAATACCTCGATACATATTCCATGATACGATACATGCCTTGATACAGTGCACTTTAGATTCTATACGATATATTTCAAATCGATTTGATACGGTTCAATAAAAAAATAAAGGCTAAATCATGACTGTGATACTAAAAGTCTTTGTTAAACTATTTCTGGTGCAAAGTTCATATGAAACACAAACATTTTAATCATCAAAACAGTGAAAATGTCAAATATGTCGCATAATCGAGTTTCCTTCCACTAAACAAACAACAAAACTGTAGCTCTGTAACAAAATAATTTAGTAAAATAGACCAAAAAATACTCTTGGTGATATATCGATACAGCAGTCCACGATAACGATACTGTTTGTTTTTGTTATTTTTGCACACCTCAAGTCCTGACCAAGACTAGACTCAAGATCTGGGTCCCACTGCCCCTGAGGAGAAGTTCCAGAGACACTGAAGGATGCAGAGGACACATTTAGATACACAATAAAGAGTGTGACATCTACAGAGGGACTGATGTGTGCAGAAGTGTGGAGCTACGAGTCATGTCAGAAGTAAAACTGTGTACTCTTTATTGGTGGACGTAGTAAAAGGTTATAGGAGCAGTTGTGGTAGTATTTGGAGTAATATTACACTGGCCTCAGAGTGAAACTGCCCAAGTCATTTTCAGCCAAACTGAGTGTCTCATTCTCCTCTCCAGACCGATCAGCTCCATCCTCCAATCACAAACACACACACACACAGACTCTAAAGTTATTTTATTGACAAAATCAGTTTATTTTTGTGTTTACCTGAAAACCTTGAAAAATTACTTTTGTGCTGGAGGCTCAATCTCTGTATTCAGTCTGGCGCCACCTAGAGCCTCTGTTCAATTTCATTTCTCTCCAGCGACTAGTTCAGGAATCAGAATACACTAGACAGTTTGCAAAAGTTCTAAAAGTTGTAGACAGCACAGCGACCAATCAGTGAAGAGCTGTGAAGACATGACGTCAAACTTAAGCGTCTGTCTGGGTCCCTTTTGTGGCTCAGCACAACAGTAAACAAAGACGTGTTGGCAACGATTCCCGAGATCGAGGATTTAAAGCATCAACAAAAAGAATGTTCGGTGAATTTTATCAAGGTGAAAGACGTGATTGCCCTTCTTCCTACGGGATTTGGAGCATTACATACGTCACGACCAAACAGCAGCAAATGGTTAAATAAAAAAAAAGTACCCGCCTACTGTCGAGCGAACGAATCCTAATGCTGTGAGGTCAGACGGTTTCTACGAAGTGAAACTGGCTGATGAATCAGACTACATTATCAGATCCACTACAGTGAGAATGAATATGTCCTATGTACTCTGTAGTTGCAGTAATAGTAGTAGTAGTAGTAGTAGTAGTAGGGGCAACAGTGTCTCAGTGGCTAGAACACTTCTGTCGTTGTGTCTTGGTGTGGAGTGAATGAATAATGACTACAACTCTGTAATGTGCATCAAGAGTACGGCTTTATAATTGTAGTACTAGTAACAGTAGCAGTAGTACTTCTAGTAGCAGTAGTAGTAGTAGTAGTGCAGTAATACTGTGGTGTTTTGCAGGTGGTGGTGTCCACTACAGTGAACGTGGATGGACACGTTCTCTCCGTCTCTGACAACATGTTTGTCCACAACAACTCCAAACATGGACGCCGCGCTCGCCGCCTCGACCCCTCAGAAGGTAACTCACTGTCCTGGTTTAGACCTGGTTTAGTCCTGGTTTAGTCCTGGTTTAGACCTGGTTTAGACCTGCTTTAATCCTGGTTTAGACCTGGTTTAGACCTGGTTTAGTCCTGGTTTAGACCTGGTTTAGACCTGCTTTAATCTGGTTTGACTGGTTTAGACCTGGTTTAGTCCTGGTTAGACCTGTTTAGACCTGCTTTAATCCTGGTTTAGACCTGGTTTATACCTGGTTTAGTCCTGGTTTAGACCTGGTTTAGACCTGGTTTACTGGTTTAGTCTGGTTTAGACTTGGTTTAGTCCTGGTTTAGACCTGCTTTAATCCTGGTTTAGACCTGGTTAGACCTGGTTTAGCCTGTTTAGACCTGGTTTAGACCTGGTTTAGTCCTGGTTTACCTGGTTTAGACCTGGTTTAGTCCTGGTTTAACCTGGTTTTCTTTAATCTGGTTTAGTCCTGGTTTAGACCTGGTTTAGTCCTGGTTTAGACCTGGTTTAGACCTGCTTTAATCCTGGTTTAGTCCTGGTTTAGACCTGGTTTAGTCCTGGTTTAGTCCTGGTTTAGACCTGGTTTAGTCCTGGTTTAGACCTGCTTTAATCCTGGTTTAGACCTGGTTTAGACCTGGTTTAGTCCTGGTTTAGTTTAGCTTTAATCCTGTTTAGTTTAGACCTGGTTTAGTCCTGGTTTAGACCTGGTTTAGACCTGGTTTAATCCTGGTTTAGACCTGGTTTAGACCTGGTTTAGTCCTGGTTTAGACCTGGTTTAGACCTGGTTTAGACCTGGTTTAGTCCTGGTTTAGTCCTGTTTAGTCCTGGTTTAGCCCTAGTTTGAACCTGGTTGGTTTAGGATTAGTTCTGCATTAGAGCTGCTTTATAATAATCAAAATAATGCATTAGTCTTATGCAGCACTTTTCTAGACTCTCAGAGTCACTTCACAAATTCATGCATTAAATGTGTTGCCCAAGAACACAACAACAGTTGTTGCTGCTGCTGCTGTTGTTGTTGTTGTTGTTGTTGTTGTTGTTCTACTGTTGCCCCTGGTTTTCCCAGTGGTCTCCTGTCCAAGAAGTAACCAAGCCTGGACCTGATGAGATCTGACAAGATCAGGCTTCGACAAGGAAGTTTAGTTCTTGTTTAGACCTAAATAAGTCCTGCTTTAGTCCTGGTTTGAACCTGGGTTAGTTTTGATTAAGTCCTGGTTTAGTCCTAGTTTGAACCTGGAATAGTTCTGGTTTAGTTTGACTTCAGTCCTGATTTAGACCTGGTTGAGTCCCAGTTGCTTTGCCTTGGTTTAGACTTAGTGTAGTCCTAAGATTAGACTTGTTTTAGGCCTGATTTAGACCTGGTTTAGTTTTGGTTTAGACCTAGTTTGAACCTGGATTAGTCCTGTTTTAGTTTGGTTTCAGACCTGATTTAGTCCTGGTTTAGTCCTGGTTCCTTTTGTCTTGATTTAGACTGAGTGTAATCCTAGTTTAGACTTATTTTAGGACTTATTTAGACCTGGTTTAGTCCTAGTTTGAACATTTATTACTCTGGTTTCTTTGACTTCAGTCTTGATTTAAACCTGGTTTAGTCCTGGTTCCTTTTGCTTTGGTTTAGACTCAGTGTAGTCCTGGTTTAGACCTGGTTTTGACCTGGTTTAATCCTGGTTTAGTCCGGGTTTAGTCCTAGTTTGAACCTGGATTAGTCCTGGTTTAGTTTGACTTCAGTCCTGATTTAGTCCTGGGTCCTTTTACCTTGGTTTAGACTGAGTGTAGTCCTTGTTTAGACCTGTTTTGGACCTGGTTTAGTCCCAGATCCATCTTTAGACCTGGTGTAGCCCTGGTTTCTTTTGACTAAATTTAGACTCACTGTAATCCTAGTTTAGACATTTTAGGCCTTATTTAGACCCGTTTTAGACCTGATTTAGACCCCGATCCATCTTTAGTCATGGTTTAAGTCCTGGTTAAGACCTGGTTTAGTCCTGGTTCCTTTTGCTTTGGTTTAGACTCAGTGTAGTCCTAGTTTCAATTTGTTTCAGACCTGGTTTAGACCTGTTTTAGTCCCAGATCCGTCTTTAGTCCTGGTTTGGTCCTGTCTCCAAACCCCAGGCAGCCGTTAAAGCGTGAAACTCTTTTTATTTTACCGCGACATACATTTTTAAATTAAACTTGGTCCGCGTCTCCTCCGTGGATACGACACTGTGAATATTATGGGATGTGCTTGTGAGTCTACGGTGTCCTGTCAGGGCCAAACGGGACATAAAGGCTCCATCTGTCCCTCATTATGCATTCCCACAAACAAACTCCGAACAGGAAGTGCGGCGCGTCGGGGGGGCGGGGCCGGCTTTTATCTGGCGCCCCCACGTACGGCGAACAATGCGGCGTCTTTTTGGCCCCTGCAGGACGCCGTACAAAGGCAGAGCTGATGAGCGCCGGGATGAGACGGGTCCAGATGTGGGAGCGAGGACGAGGAGATCAAAACAAACCTGAACGACGAAGATTACAGCGCGACGGGAAAAAACAGAGTCAAGACCAAACAAAGAATCTGCGTCGACGCATTTAAAAACACACAAACACACACGATATTTAGGCTGAGTTCTTCTCTCTGCTCCACTTTGTGATGTCATGTGGTGATACAGGAAGTGCTCCATTGTGTTTTTAAACTCCACACACCTTCATTAGAATCATCTGCTTCATTTCAATCCTGGAATTGCCAAGATCCCTACATCGTAAAATCTAATAAATCGGCATTGCTTGAAAAAATCTAGGAAACCGATTGCCTTGAAAAATCGGACTATTTATCTGGCATTTAAGTCCTTTTTAAATCCTGTTTTTGTTCTGGTTTAGACCTGGTTTAGTCCTGGTGTCCTGGAGCGTCAGGGCCTTCAAGTCCTTCTCTGCTGACCTAAATATCTGAATCACAGACTGATGTTAAAGGTTGTATGGAGGATTTTTTTTGTTTGTTTCAAATTGTCAGTGAAAGTTTAAAATACCATTTCAGAGATGCAGCAGCCTCATAATTATGATGACCAAAAAAAAAAAAAAAAATCTATCAACTGTGGACGTAATGAGGCCAGATAAACATCAGCCAATAGCAAACAAGGCTACCTCATTTTCTATTGGCTGTTAGGTTGTCAATCAAACTCTCTACGTTTCTAGTGTAACTGAGTTGCCGGCACGTGGGGATTATGTGGTTCTTAGAGGCTTTTTCTAACTGTAGCTTCCTCGCAGTTCGCTCAAAGTTTGTCGCGATGGCGGAACGAGAATCCACAACCAGTTCGCCGCAAAAGAAAGTCCGTTTTTAAGGTCGCTGAAAGAAGAAGAGAAGGGGAAAAGGAGCGAAGCCAAACTGAGGTGATTCTTGGAGATTCCTTCCAGCGATTGCGCAAATGAAGCAGACGAAGGGTCTAAAATCTGACGTGTCGGTCACTAAATTATTTCCAGACAAGTCACTTCAACAGTAAGTCTGAACGAGCACTGGCTGTAAACAAGGGTGATTTCTAGAGTGAGGAGGCATGAGAAGGTGTCACGTATGCACAACTTTTGAAAAAGGACTGTTGCTGTATTTCTTTTCCCTTAAAAAATCCTCTATACAACCTTTAATATTAAAGCATTTGACCAATCACATTTCAGTCATCACTTGTTGCTAGGCAGAGTCAAAGTCAAAGAAGTCTGCCTGAGGCCTTCACAATCCATTCTGGAGGCCCTCGAACGCCTTGAACACAAAATAAATGTCGATAAAATTGATGCTTCAACCAATCAGATTTTGAGTTGGTTGGCACACCTTCGGGCCGGTCCTGACAAACAGTCCTGCTTTAGTTCTGGTTTAGTTCTGGTTTAACTTCGCGCACCCCCCTCTCCTCACTTCTCTGTGCACGGAATCTCCACGGCTCTTTAAACTGTGCATAATGCAACTATAAAATAGTTATTGAGGAGTGGATTGTTTCAGACGGAGCTCTACTGAAGACCTAAGTGTGACATGCACCACGCCACTGGTAAAGTCTAATAAGTCGAACTTAATTGAAAAAAAACTAGGAAAAAGAATGCCTTGAAACATCTGACTATTTATCTGGCATTTATGTCCTTTTTAAATCCTGTTTTAATCCTGGTTCAGTTTTAGACCTGTTTTATACCTGGTTTAGATCTGGTTTAGTCCTGGTTTAGACTTGGTTTAGACCTGGTTTGGGCCTAGTTTTAGCCTGGGTAAGTCCAGATTTAGTCCTGGTTTTAGACCTGTTTTAGTCCTGGTTTTAGTCCTGGTTTTAGACCTGGTTAGTCCTGTTTTAGCCTGTTTAGTCCTGGTTTAGTCCTGGTTTAGTCCTGGTTTAGTCTTGGTTTTAGTCCTGGTTTTAGTCTTGTTTTAGTCCTGGTTTTAGACCTGGGTTAGTCCTGTTTTAGTCCTGGTTTAGTCCTGGTTTAGACTTGGTTTAGACCTGATTTAGACCTGATTTAGACCTGGTTTAGTCCTGTTTTAGTCCTGGTTTTAGACCTGTTTTAGTCCTGTTTTAGTCCTGGTTTAGTCCTGGTTTAGACTTGGTTTAGTCCTGATTTAGACCTGGTTTAGACCTGGTTTGGGCCTAGTTTTAGCCTGGGTAAGTCCAGATTTAGTCCTGGTTTAGACCTGGTTTGGGCCTAGTTTTAGCCTGGGTAAGTCCAGATTTAGTCCTGGTTTTAGACCTGTTTTAGTCCTGTTTTAGTCCTGGTTTAGTCCTGGTTTAGAGTCCTTGGTTTAGTCCTGATTTTAGACCTGATTTAGACCTGGTTTTAGTCCTGTTTTAGTCCTGGTTTTAGAATGGTTTTAGTCCTGGTTTAGTCCTGGTTTAGACCTGTTTTAGTCCTGTTTTAGTCCTGGTTTTAGTCTGGTTCAGTCCTGGTTCAGTCCTGGTTCAGTCCTGGTTCAGTCCGGCGCTGCAGTTTAAGTCACGGAAACGGGAAAACGGTCGTTATGCGTTTTTTTCCATTTTTCATTTAAATACAAAATCGAAAACTGAAAAAAACAACCGTTATCTGTTTTTAAATTTTGGTTTTGTTCTTCTTTTGTTTTTATATTTTATGCTTGTATTTCTTGTACTTTTTTATATTTGAATCTTCAGTGTTGTTAAAACGCCGTCCGCCCGTCTGTCTCTGAGTCCATTGATTTGTCCATGAACCACATTACCTCATTAGAAAAACGGTTTTATTTTAATATCGTTTTAACCCAGTTCAGGACCTGGTGTAGTCCTGGTTCAGTCCTGGTTTGGACCTAGTTTTAGTCTGAGTAAGTCCTTGTTTAGACCTGGTTTAGTCCTGGTTCCTTTTGCTTTGGTTTAGATTCAGTGTAGTCCTAGTTTAGACTTGTTTTAGACCTGGTCCAGTCTTGGTTCCATCCTGGTTCAGTTCTGGTTAAGTCCTGGTTTAGTCCTGTTTGGATCTTTGTTTAGTTCTGACTGAGCCTTGGTTTAGTCCTGGTCCACTCCTGGTTTAGTTCTAGATCTAGTCCAGTCCTGGTTCAGTCCTACTCCTGTCCTGGTTTAGTCCTAGTCCAGTCCTGGTTCATTCCTTGTCCAGTTCAGGTTCAGTCCTGATTCAGTCATGGTCTAGTCCTGGTTCAGTCCTACTCCAGCTGTAGTCCAGCCCTGGTCCAGTCCTGGTCCAGTCCTGGTCCAGTCTTAGTCCAGTCCTGGTCCACTTCTAATCCTGTCCTACTTCAATCCTGGTCCAGTCCTCTTTCAGTCCTGGTCCAGTCCTGTTTAAATCCTTGTTTAGTTCTGATTAAGTCCCAGTCCTTGTCCAGTCCTGGTCCAGTCCTCGTTGGGTCCTGGTCCTGGTCCGGTCCTGGTCCTAGTCCAGTCCTAGTTCATTCCTTGTCCAGTTGTGGTTCAGTCCTGGTTCAGTCATGGTCTAGTCCTGGTTCAGTCCTACTCCAGCTGTAGTCCAGCCCTACTCCAGTCCTGGTCCAGGTCCTGGTCCAGTCCTGGTCCAATCTTAGTCCAGTCGTGGTCCAGTCCTTGTTGAGTCCTGGTCCGGTCCTGGTCCTGGTCCAGTCTTGGTCCGGTCCTGGTGTAGTCCTGGTCCAGTCTTAGCGCAGTCTTGGTCCGGTCCTGGTCCTGGTCCTGGTCCAGTCTTGGTCCAGTCTTGGTCCGGTCCTGGTCCAATCTTAGTCCAGTCGTGGTCCAGTCCTTGTTGGGTCCTGGTCCGGTCCTGGTCCAGTCTTGGTCCAGTCTTGGTCCGGTCCTTGTCCAATCTTGGTCCAGTCTGGTCCAGTCTGGTCCTGGTCCGGTCCTGGTCCTGGTCCAGTCTTGGTCCAGTCTTGGTCCGGTCCTGGTCCGGTCCTGGTCCAGTCTTGGTCCAGTCTTGGTCCGGTCCTGGTCTAGTCCTGGTCCTGGTCTCTTATATTCTGTGTGTTCTGTGTGTGTTTGAAGCAGCCACTCCGTGCATTAAAGCGATCAGCCCGAGCGAGGGCTGGACCACAGGGGGCGCTACGGTCATCCTCATCGGGGACAACTTCTTCGACGGACTGCAGGTCGTGTTCGGGACCATGCTGGTGTGGAGCGAGGTGAGAAGCACTTTCACTTTCACTTTCACTTTTCTCCGATCTATGTTATAAAATTGTTTCCTCGTCACAAACAAACCCGGAGTTGTGTTTTTTTTTTTTGTTTCATTCACACGTTTAACTCACAAACCTGCAGATTTACGCTGAGTTCTTCTCTTAACCTACACTAAAAACACTCCGTTCCACCTTGTGATGTCATGTGGTGATACAAAAGGTGCTCCACTGTGTTTTTTTAACAACATAAACCTTCACTAGAATCATGTGGATAACTTCAGATCTGGATTTGCCGATCTCGACTGAACTAAAGGTAAAAGAGGCTGTTTACTTCAAAAACTGCAGCTTCGTGACATCACAAGGTGGAACAGAGCGTTTTGAGCTTTGGAAATGTCGACAGATTAATAATAAAGTGTTACTCAAACATGTGAATGAAACAAAACACAACTCCAGGTCTGTTTTTGACGACGTAACAACATTATAACACGACTTAAAGCTCACAAGAGTTTATTTTGTGTGATAAAGGAGCTGTGTGTAGTCTGTGCTCTTACAGTTTTCAGTTCCTGGTTTAGTCCTGATTTAGTCCTGGTTTAGTCCTGGTTCAATCCTGGTTTAGTCCAGGTTTAGTCCTGGTTCAGTCCTGGTTTAGTCCTGGTTTAGTCCTGGTTTAGTCCTGGTTTCAGTCTTGGTTTTAGTCCTGGTTCAGTCCTGGTTTAGTCCTGGTTAGTCCAGGTTTAGTCCTGGTTCAGTCCTGGTTTAGTCCTGGTTTAGTCCTGGTTCAGTCCTGTTTTAGTCCAGGTTTAGTCCTGGTCAGTTCATGGTTCAGTCCTGGTTCAGTCCTTTTAGTCCTGGTGGTTCAGTCCTGGTTCAGTCCTGGTTCAGTCCTGGTTTAGTCCTGGTTCCAGTCCTGGTTGGTTAGTCCTGGTTTAGTCCTGGTTCAGTCCTGGTTCAGTCCTGGTTAGTCCTGTTTTAGTCCAGGTTTTAGTCCCTGGTTCAGTCCTGTTTTTTCCAGTTTAGTCTGGTTCAGTCCTGGTTAGTCCTGGTTCAAACCTGGTTTAGTCCTGGTTTAGTCATGGTTCAGTTCTGGTTTAGTCCTGGTTCAGTCCTGGTTCAGTCCTGTTTTAGTCCAGGTTTAGTCCTGGTTCAGTCCTGTTTTATAGTCCAGGTTTAGTCCTGGTTCAGTCCTGGTTTAGTCCTGGTTCAAGTCCTGGTTTAGTCCTGGTTAGTCCTGGTTTAGTCTGGTTTAGTCCTGGTTCAGTCTGGTTCAGTCCTGGTTTCCAGTCCTGGTTCAGTTAGTCCTGGTTTAGTCTGGTTTAGTCCTGGTTTAGTCCTGGTCCTGGTAGTCCTGGTTTAGTCCTGGTTAGTTTCAGTCCTGTTTAGTCCAGGTTAGTCCTGGTTCAGTCCTGTTTTATTCCAGGTTTAGTCCTGGGTCAGTCCTGGTTTATGTTTCAAACCTGGTTTAGTCCTGGTTTCAGTTCAGTCCTGGTTTAGTCCTGGTTCAGTCTTGGTTCAGTCCTGGTTTAGTCCTGTTTAGTCCTGTTCATCTGATTTAGTCCTGTTATCCTGTTAGTCCTGTTTAGTCCTGGTTTAGTCCTTGGTTAGTCCAGTTTAGTCCTGGTTCAGTCCTGGTTCAGTCCTGGTTTAGTCCTGGTTCAGTCCTGTTTTAGTCCAGCTTTAGTCCAGGTTTAGTCCTGGTTGAGTCCTGGTTCAGTCCTGGTTGTGTTGTGTTGTGTGTCACAGTTGATCACGCCTCATGCGATCCGGGTGCAGACTCCTCCTCGTCACATCCCTGGTGTGGTGGAGGTCACCCTGTCCTACAAATCCAAACAGTTCTGCAAAGGAGCTCCAGGCAGATTACGTCTACTACACTGGCTACTACTACTAACTATACTACTACTACTACTACTACTACTACTACTGACTACTACTGACTACTACTACTACTACTACTACTACTACTACTACTACTACTACTACTACTACTACTACTACTACTACTACTACTACTACTACTACTACTACTACTACTACTACTACTACTACTACTACTACTACTACTACTACTACTACTACTACTACTACTACACTACTACTACTACTACTACTACTACTACTACTACTACTACTACTACTACTACTACTACTACTACTACTACTACTACTACTACTACTACTACTACTACTACTACTACTGCTACTACTACTACTACTACTACTACTACTACTACTACTACTACTACTACTACTACTACTACTACTTACTACTACTACTACTACTACTACTACTACACTACTACTACTACTACTACTACTACTACTGCTACTACTACTACTACTACTACCACTACCAGTACTACTACTACTACTACTACTACTACTACTACTACTACTACTACTACTACTACTACTACTACTACTACTACTACTACTACTACTACTACTACTACTACTACTACTACTACTACTACTACTACTACTACTACTACTACTACTACTACTACTACTACTACTACTACTACTACTACTACTACTACTACTACTACTACTACTACTACTACTACTACTACTACTACTACTACTACTACTACTACTACTACTACTACTACTACTACTACTACTACTACTACTACTACTACTACTACTACTACTACTACTATTACTACTACTATGACAGACTACTACTACATCAGATACTACTACTACTGCTAATACTACTTTTTTTTGCTACTACTACTATAGATACTACTACAGATACTACTACTCACTGCTACTGTTGCTTCTACTACTGCAGATACTACTTACTACTACATCAGATACTCGTCCTTCTTTGCTTGTATTTGATTCTTTTTTGTATAATTCTTTCTTGTGTGACTGGGGACATTGTCTAAACTTGTCCATTGTGAGAATTATCTGGGATCTGACGCGTCCAGACGGCGGCTCGGATAACGCCGCCTTCACGTGTGCGCATTAACATGGCAAAGAACTCCACAAACGCACGAGAAAACCACGAATAAAACTGGAAAAAAAAATAATAAAACGACCAAACGAGAGTGCGGTGTGTCCGGCGGAAATCTGTGACATTCAGTTATCGGCACAAACAGGAGCGGCGCCTGACCTTTGCCTGTTTGAATGATGTGAATATAAAGAAGAATATGGGCAGACAAAAAAACGGGTTTAGAGATGGAAGGAGCTGATACGCAGACAATGAGCCTGACAGAACGCACTCAGGGAAAAGAGGCCGGACTGGATTTAGGACAGAGATTTAAAAGATGTAAGTGTATGTTAAAATACACAGGCGAGGATAGACCTGGTTTAGACCTGGTTTAGATCTGGTTTAGGCCTGTTTACATAGTTCTGTCTTACTTCTGGCTTAAACCTGGTTTAGTTCAAGTTTAGACCTGGTTTAGTCATGGTTTAGGCCTGTTTTAGGCTTGATTTAGACCTGGTTTAGTTCTAGTTTAGTCCTGGTTTAGGCCTGGTGTAGACCCGGTTTAATTCTAGTTTAGACCTGGTTTAGTTCTGGTTTAGTTCTGGTTTAGACCTCATTTAGACCTGGTTCAATCCTATTTTAGACCTGTTTTATTTCTGGTTTAGACCTGGTTTAGGCCTGGTGTAGACCAGTTTAATTCTAGTTTAAACCTGGTTTAGACCTCATTTAGACCTGGTTCAATCCTAGTTTAGACCTGGTTTAGTTCTGGTTTAGACCTCATTTAGACTGGTTAATCCTATTTTAGACCTGTTTTATTCTGGGTTTAGACCTGGTTTAGGCCTGGTGTAGACCAGGTTTAATTCTAGTTTAAACCTGGTTTAGACCTCATTTAGACCTGGTTCAATCCTAGTTTAGACCTGGTTTAGACCTGATTTAATTCTAGTTTAGATCTTGTTTAGGCCTTGTTTAGTTCTAGTTTAGACCTGGTTTAGACCTGGTTTAGTCCTGGTTTAGGCCTGGTTTAGTCCTGGTTTAGACCTGGTTTTGCTCTAGTTTAGACCTGGTTTAGGCCTGGTTTAGTCCTGGTTTAGTCCTGGTTTTTCTAGTTTAGACCTGGTTTAGACCTGGTTTCCTTCTGGTTTAAACCTGGTTTTGTTTTAGTTTAGGTCTGACTTAGACCTGGTTTAGACCTGAATTAGCTCTGGTTTAGTTCAAGTTTAGACCTGGTTTAAATCTGGTTTAGTTCTGGTTTAGTTCAAGTTTAGACCTGGTTTAGTTAAGGTTTAGATCTCTTTAAGATCTGGTTTAA